GTTGTAGCTGGTCCTGGTCAGATCTGTTGGCGATCGTCCTATTCACCGCTGTGTCACCTGCGAACAGTCTTGCTTGGGATGTCAGTTTCTAGGGTAGATCATTAGTGTATGCTAGGAACAAACAGAGTCCTAGCACTGATCCCTGGGGGTCCGCGGACTTCACATCGACAAAAGAGGAGCTTGTACAATCAACCAATACTGCTTGGCATTGGTGGCTGAGGAAGCTAGAGATCCATTTTTTAGTGGTGCCTTGGATCCTATATTTCTGGAGTTTGTGTAGAAGCAAACTATGATTCACACGGTCAAATGTCTTGGCGAAGTCCATCACCAGCACTTCAGTCTGCTTGTGGTTCTACAGATTTGTCATCAAGTCTTCTACAAATTTATGGAGCTGAGTCTCACATGATCTATTGACTCGGAAGCCACGTTGACAGTCATTGAGTATATTTTGGCTTTCAAGATGCTTCATGACTGTGCTTACGATTATGTGCTCCAACAGTTTGTAGACCCCACTGGTGAGAGATATCGGACGATAATTGGCAGGGTTGGAATGCTCCCCTTTCTTGTAGATTGGAGTGACATGCGCTGTTCTCCAGTCTGCTGGAACATTTCCTGTGCAAGCGACGATTGGAAGACGATTGTCAATGTTGGATCGATTTCTTTGGCCAATTCTTTGAGCACGCGTGGTTTGATGTTTCAGGACCACAGGCTTTCTAACCGTTAATTGTTTTGACGAGGGCAAGCACACCCTTATTCTGATATCTTCCATGACAGGGTAGGCTCTGTTCATCATTTTGCTCTTCAGAAGGAACTCAGTCTCAGCGTAGTCTCTACCGTCACCAAAGACAAACCGGAACTGCTGATTGAGTATCTCGGCCTGTGCTTTTGGGTCAGATGTCGCGTTTGAGGACTTTTGGTGCTTCACATAGCTCCAGAAGCGCTTGTTCTTGACATGTTTCGTCGGGGTGTCTTCCTCTGAGAAGATGTCGTTCATGTAGTTCCAATATGATCTACGCAATAAGCGTTGAATGGTTCGGCGGATCCTCAGTACCTCCTCTCTCAGTTCAACCAAGACATTTTTCTTCATGCGTTTGTATTGGCGGTATCTCCTGTGGATGAGCCTACGGATTTTAGCCGTGATCCATGGCTGATTTATCTTAGGTTTGGTGATCTTGTGTGGTATGAATTTCTTCACTGCATCAGTTATTGTTGTCTTAAACTTCACCCACAGCTCCTCTGTTGTCGCTGTACCATGAATTCCCTGCATGTTTGAGCTTAAGATTAAACTCGTTTTTAATCATAATCGTAATTTTAAACGAAAACAATTACGTCATCAGTTACGCGCTGTTGTTAGGCTGGGAACCTGTCACGCTCTAACGACAAGACCTGACCTCCGGGGACTACCGATGATTTACACCGGCGATTTCCGAAATAACATGTCTTCGTATCTAATGTGAACTATACTAAATTAAGAAAATTGTTGGCATATTTCAAATGAGTACCATTTCAAAAATTATATAATTTCTTAACGCTAGAAATGTGTAACTCTGAGTAAAATTTGAAGTTAACTCAAAAACAGTTTTTAATTTCCCTGAAAGAAGCCACGAAAAAATTTTTGGATTTTGACTACTACATACATCTGCGTAGTTCAGTTGTTAATTATAGATTTAGGATTTTCCGGATCGGACATTTTTTTTTTCAAAACCATTGAGGATTTAAACAAACAGAACTAATTAGATTTTGCAGGTATTGGCTCTTTGAGCGTCCCCTTACAAGGTACACAAACAAGTAGGTTATGTTTTATGTTTTATTTTAAATTTTAAAGTTGTTGTTTTTTTATTGTAAAGAAATGCTTAATTTGGAGTCTCCATGAAAGAATATTTTTAGACATTTTAATATAACAGGCTAACGATAGGGTAAATTCAAATTATATGTTTAGACTAGGCGTTTTTAGAACTTTTACTTGAGGAGTTGTAAAAATAAATGATTGTCGAGACACAAATATCTGAGATATAATCATAAGTAAGAGAGTTTATTTTTTTAAAACTAACTTATGTGAAACACATTGGGTTAAAAAGTAAAATCAATCAAAATACACTGTACATGTAAATCATTAGTAAATGTATTAGTTTTTTTGGGGGGGTGGGGGGGTGAAACAAGAGCACCAGTCTAATTTTGGTTTCTTTCAAAATAAATTTTGATAAAAACTTCAAGGTAAGGTATTAAATACTATTGTCGTATCACAAATATTATGCCCTTGCTGTCAAAACCTGGACACATGAAACATATTAGAACGTCCGCCATTTTCATGGCTCCGTCGTGACGCCATAGATACAAAATGGCGGGAGTGTGCCTAAATATAGCGCTTATTAATGGCGAGGTCGTATCAGACACATTAACCTTGCTTCAAGAAAGAAAAGAAAAAGATAAATATTAGTGGCTCTACATTTGTTTTGTTTTTTTTTAAACCTTTATTTGATATTCTTTTAAAATAGATAACTCAAAACTGCACATCGACAATAAATCAAAATAAAAATGAATGCGATTTTTTTTCCTCTATAAGTTTGTGTAAAATATTTTTAAACATTTGATGAAATGACCAGAGGTCGAATTTATAACAACGGTGTCCTGAAATTTCACTGAAATTTGGAGGAAACATTTAACACTTGATAATTTTTTTAAAAGCCAAATCTATGTGTCCTGTCGCCGCACGAGACCAGTCCTTCACCCAAATACAAATATTTTGCCCACTATTTTTTTCATCTAACTGAAAAAAGTTTTCTAAACCAAATATCCCTCAAATTACTGAAACTCTCTTAATGAAAGAAAACATAATACAAAAGTCTAGCAACATCAAACTTTCAATTAATGACGTTCACATGAAATGGAAGCAGTAAGAGGGTTACCTGTGTGATATTTAAAAAGAAAATTTAGAGTCTTATGAAACTGGATCTGAAACAAATTAGAACACGTATAAATGAATTTAATTCTCAACGCGAATGTTAAAACCTAAACATAAAACAACAGGTGCTATATATATATATTTTTTTTTTTTTTTGGTTAAGATTTCAGCAAGTTATTTCTCAATAGTTTCCTGTCAAAAGCCCTATTTTATTTTTTTATAAAATTATATTTTTTTTTAAAAAGAAAAATTAAAGTCTTATGAAAATGGAACTGAAAAAAATTAGAACACGTATAAATGAATTTAATTCTAAACGCGAATGTTAAAACCTAAACATAAAACAACAGGTGCTATATATATATATTTTTTTTTTTTTGGTTAAGATTTCAGCAAGTTATTTCTCAATAGTTTCCTGTCAAAAGCCCTATTTTAGTTTTCTATAAAATTATATTTTTTTTTAACCCATGCCCCCAGGTAATCAACTAAAAACAGTTATAACCCGGAAATAAAGACGATATCGTCTCATCCCCAGAAAATAAGTTTCACCTAGAAACGAAATATTCCTCCAACCCCTCATCACTCTTCAAATCGCCACTATGTAGGGATTACGCTCAACGTTCCCCAACACTCCATGGCAGGAGTAACAGAGATATTAATTCTTTTTATAAATTCTATTAGAATGACTTAATAAGAATACTACTCATTGCAAAAATACATTGAAATAGATTAATCCGCTTTCTTCATATGCACTGTGCATAATTAATTAGAGAGTACAAATATTATCATCTCGCTAATATTAAGTTTGTAACAAGTGCTATGTTTCGTTTGCTACAACCTAGTTAAAACTGACCCGTGGGCGGCATTAAGAAGAATCGATTCAAATAAATTTTAATCTTGCTCTTTTTTTATAATTTTTTTTAGATGGCCGGCCATTTCGGTGAGTACGACAACCAAAAGACACACAGACATTGAAGAGATGCGCATGCTTGCTATAACCTTAAGTTTGTACTTTTAAAAATGTTGACTGATGTTGTACGAAGCTTATTTCTAGTTAAAGCGATTCAATTCCTTATTTTATTAAGGAATTGCAATTTGAAACCTCGAATGCGTTAATATTAAATTGAATAATTCCTCATTTAATATAAGGTTTGCTGACTACAAATGAAACTGCGAGACAAGTTCTTATGTAAATTTAAATATTTGTATACTTGTAAAAATGTATATAATTTTGATATCAAAAGCAATCTTTATTTCACAATAAAATTCAATATGGCTTCTTATTTAGTATGTATCACATACTTGAAAATATTTTTTTTTAATAAAAATTGTGATGTAAGCATGAATGACATGATTGATGAAACTAATAATTTTATTTTAGTTTTAAAACTTCATGTTAATTATTTCTTTTTTCAATTGTGTGAAATATTTTTTTTAAAGCGCTTTATTGTCTGATTGTGTCTCCTCTGGTTTAAAATGTATGGCGTGCTTTTCTTTGTGAATGACTTTTAGAACGTTTTGTAGCAAACAATGGCTTTTAAAATTTTTCCCACATTACTAGTTGCAGTCAAGCTTGATTGGAAATGTCCAATGCCGAAATAAAGAAAAACGTATAAATGTAAACACGATTTAAGGTTAAAGTTCATATCACTTGACACATGTTAGAGACTCCTCCACATCCCTCTCTAAACCAATCACTATTTCTTTTCTTTTTTCTGAGGAACTTAATCGATCTTTTAAAGTGTAAATCACAATCGAAGACAAGTTTAAATGACAATTTTCTTTAAAAATAAAAAATAAAGATGTGTTTCTAATATGATAAATAAACATAATTGTAAAAGTTATAAATTAAATATATGACATCCTTCCGTCTTCGTGAGACGATGGAGTAGCTATATAAATCTACACTTTTACGAGTGGCTCACTATGCCAATCCTAGCTAATATTGCTACTTAGCTCAGGAAAAGGGTATAAATATGTTAAAACTAATGGGAGACAAGTAACATGGCTAATATTTCTTGTATCATATACAGATTGTTGGGACTTGCCAAGCAGAGTTTTGGTAGAATAACCAAGGGTTGGTATTTTTAAGAAAGAGATACAACAGTGAAAATAACATTGAATTCTTTACTTTTGAGGAAAAGATAAATGAGCAACAATAAATATATATTTTTTTCTCAATTGATTAACAACGAAATTGTAAAAGAAATAAATCAGCTCGACTTTGATTGGCTCATTTTAACACACGTTGTATTTATGCGTTGATGGTCTTTTTTTTAAAGAAGCCATGCCAGACTTTGGCCATGACATACATGTCAAGTACCCAAACGGTCATATTTTATTGAAGACAATCAACATCATGGAACGAAGCGGTCGTGTTCGTACTGTCGGCGAGGTTTGTAAACATGTTTGTTGGATGTTCAATTTAGTTGACATAATTATTTTTGAACTAAGAATAAACAAATATAAGATTGCTTTTGAATGAAACAAACAACAGTTTTTTTGTTTTTTTTAAATGATTTAATTCTCTTTAATTTAAATAAATGAAAAGTTAATGTTAGCTTACAGCTTCTTAAATTTCAAATTAATATATGGGTGCTGTTGAAAGTGACATTAAAATCTTTTGTACCATGTTACATTAAACTCAGAATGCCTGTTATATCCAATAAATTTTTTTAAGGAAGAATACAATGAAGAGAGAAAATTAAGATCTATAATATTGTATTTTATAAGATTAAAAGACAGCTCTTGACAGAGTCGGGAATTTCCAATCCACATGACTACCGTATGGCTTTAAGAAGAAATGAACATCAGACAACTGTCATGGAAGATGCCTTGCCAATCACGACCTACATTGTGAGCCAGACAAGCGGCGGGCAACTGGAGTTTCAGCTCGAGTAATATACCTAATTATTTGTTTACATTTTTTTTATTTTCTAAATGTTTGCAAGGAGATTAATCGGCCTCTTGGTCAATTTTTTTTTCAAAACTAGCAGGCAGAATTTTAAAATAATGATAATATTAAATAAATAAAAACAAATGAATAAAGACTGAGTGAATCAGTGAGTTGATACATAATGTAGAAAGCCATTTTAAAAAATTTACAAAAAAATCTGTACGAAATAAAAATGATTTTAATTCAGTTGAGTAATGAGATTACAAAATTGAGAATTTTATTATTAAATGTATTATATGCTAAAATTGAATATCAGTTTACACGTTTAAAACATGTCTTTCCAAATCTTTCATTTGCAGAAGTTTGTCGAACACACGATGCAGCCAATATGCAGAATGATATTCATTGGGTATCCTCTATAACAGCAGTTTGTTATTATTAATTTACAGGTAAATTAGATGCAATAACTATTGTCAAAGCCAAATAAATACTCAAGGAATTCATATAAAACGTATACAATGTTACAGGATGATGTTTAAATAAACAGAAAACTAAACTCATTAGGAAAGTTGAAATGCTTTATGTATAAGCTTCTCATTAAACATGATTTGTGTGCTATAATTTTAATTGGGATGTTATGCTTTAAAAGATAACTCTTAAAAATTTAACATTACACAATATACTGTAGTACATTCTTATTATGAAAGTGAGAGATAGGCGAATAATTCCGACAACTAAAGGTAGTGTAATACTTATAACATTTTTTTAATGTCAAGATCTGGTTGTAGGTTCGTACAGCCACGACATGGAAAGTCAATGTACATTGCAATTTGCATTAGTAGTTGTGAAAAAAATATTCCACACACAAAGAATATACATATATATATATATATATATATATATATTATATAAATATATAAATATATATTAAATAAAAATAACATTTGCGACATGTAAAACATATTCATCGTGTGTATTGAATGTAATGCAGAATAACATATGTTAATTTAGTTTTAAAATGTCATGTTTTTTGTTTTTTTTTTAAATATAGTAATAGTACATCATGAATACAATTGTAGTGTCTACAACTTCAATATGCATAATTTTAACACATTCCTATCTTGCCGGTACGACTTTAATGGCGCATTTACAAGATCGTAATTTTTTGCATTTTTTCGTTTTTTTTGTTTTTAAATAATATTAATTATTATTTTTAATCTGTCTTTTTTTTTTCTTGGTGTGCTTTTTTCAATATAGTTATTTTAAAATTGTATAAATACCTGTGCAAATCAGGATTTGATGCGAAGGTAGGAGACACACAAAAATTGCTTAGATTTAATTAAATAAACAAAGGAACATTGCAACATTTATTTTGGTAAAAATTAAAGGACTTCAGAAATTCGATTCCTCAACTAATTTGTTTTAATTATATGTGACGTCATTTGCAGCTCATACTCCAAAATTTGATTTGTCAAAGAAATTGTGAACGATAATATATTTTTATAGAAAAAAATGTATTCAAATGCTTGGCACTTATTTTTAAACAGTGCTATTCTAAATAAGAGTTAAATTGTAAAGAATATAAAATAAATTTAACTTGATAAAATAGAAAAATATTCTATGTTCCTTTAATTGTATATGTTAGTATATCACGTTTTAATTGAGAGAGCATAAATCAAACAACACGGTCTTAAACCTCAATTATAGACTACACTAAGACTTGCATTTATGAGAGCGTTTTGTTTAAGGATTGTTTTTAACAGTTGAAATGAACAATGTTACAGACTTTGTCTCTACCTCAAGTTATGCTTACTTACAGTCCGAAATCTTACCTTTTTTTTTCTTATATTGTAAACCATTTTTACACGTGTATGTCTTTTTTCACGTTATTGCTTATATCATAGAAATATTAAACTGAGTTTTTCTACATCAAAAATTGAATTCGGTATTATTTATCATAAGAGTAACATTAATTTGTGAATACTAATAGTATGTTGTTGTTGTTTTTTTTAATTTAAGATGTTAATTTAACGATATTTCTTAAAATTATAGCGATCAACCTCATTAAATTTCGGGAATGTTGATCATAGAGTAAACTTAACTAAAAAATCAGATTTCACTTGGCAGTTCAAAACAGATGGTTAATTTTTAAAAAGAGAGGATATCTTTCGTGAACCATATTGTAGGATATTTAAAATTAGAGATATCTTGGAATGTTCTTTTTTTTAAAAATGAGACTGAAGAAGGAGATTGTACGATCAGGTTATATGAGAAATTTGTATAATATATATTTTCTGCAAAAAATATATCATTTAAGGACATGATCATATCCTTTAACCAGTGGATTATGAGTAATTGTTAATTTTTTACTGATTCTGTGCAATGGATATTGGTGTATTGTATGTCAAGATATATTTCAATTTAACAAATTGATGTATGTGTATTTGTCAACTTGACATTTTGATTTGAACAAGTGATGGTGTATGCCACTATAATCAGTAAATAATTAGAGGAAGAAAGGTTTCTTAAATGTTCAAAGTTAGACTGGTAACGTTTGGGGTAATTGAATTAGAATTTGATACAGAGTAGAGAAAAAATTATTAAGTAGGACTTTACAAAAATGCGGACGTTTCTGATAAGAAGTATTCAACAGCAAAAATTACTCAAACGGACAAACTTAGGTGATTGAAGTATTAAGTTGATAGGAAGTTATAAGCCACTTAAATGAAAGAAGCGTCCAATATAATCATGGAAAAGGTTTATGAGTTAAACACGATATGTAAACGAAAATAAAATGATTTATTAAATTAAATAACACTTTGAGGGAAATCATCTACTCTCCGTGCATATAAATAATAATCAATAGATACACGCAATGAAACATGTGTACGAACACGAATTAGTCAGTTGAAACTTACAGGGGTAATTAAAGGAATATGTTTGTAAACGTGTGAAAATTGTGTGTAATCTAATTAATTTATTTTGCTTTTGTATATATTTTCCAGAAATATTGTTTTCAATGAAATCTAAAATTGCTTGACTTAGAAAGAGGATACTCAGAAGCAAAATTTTAAAAAAATATGAATGTGGATTTTAAAAAAAAATTTAACGGATTTCAAACATTTTTTAAAATGAAATAATTTGTTGCAATTAAATATTGTATTTAACTGACGCTTTACAATTTTTGGGGTCTATCAGAAGCTGCTGAAGATGGCCAGAATGATGCCTTTGTTCAGAACCCAGTTGATGGACAAGAGACAACCTTAGCAATTTCTTATTTAGACGCTAATGGCGATAACCTGACAGTCTTACAGGTTAGCCAAAAAAATTAAATTTCATTCTTTTTGTGTGTAAATTAGAAAATTTATATACATTAGAAAATATATACTTTGTTAAAATATTAATATGGATGTGAATTATTTCTGTAAATGCTGTTGAACGTCCGTCAAGATCAAGATAGACCATCTAATCATGCGGTTAGGGGTGGGGTGAGTACATGGTGAGCTCGTATGTGGTTTGCTAGTCCGATCACTGCTCGAAATAGTCTCTAGCACCACAAGCAGGGGATAGTTGTTGTAGTCGGTGATCTAAGGTGGCTTTTTCGTGCCAGCCTGCTTGTCTCAGATGTCGCTATCCTTCTGGCTTGATTAGATTGAGCCCCCTTCTTAACAAATGATCTCCACTTGGCTCTGTCCTGGGCTGTATGCTTTCATTCAAAGGGCTTGATGTTAAAGTAATTAGTCTTAATATTTATCATACTATTCAGTTATATTTTAATTTTAACGATTTTTAAACAGACCATCAACTAGGAAACATAAAGGAATTGTTGAGAAATATTTAAACAGTCGGAAATGATAAAACTCCCCAGCTTATCGATTCCTTTTTTTTTAAAATTAAATACATGCATATTTTATAGCAAGTGATAATTTTGAGTCATTTAAATGCAAACATGTTTTATTGCAGGTGATGAATGAATTGCTTACAAGTCTGGGTATAGCTTCAAGGGCTTACAAGATGGTGTTGGTCAAAGATCACGTTCCAAAAACCTTGAGGGACAACGAACCTATTATCGATTATAAGGATGATATTTTAAATGGCTTTGTGATTACGTTTGAAAGGAGATAATTGTTGTATGCAACCTTTAGATATTTGCAATACGTTGTGAACAGTATTGAAATTATCATTGTTTGGTTTCGTTTAAAAAATATTACTTATGTTTTAGAACAAGCATTTTGAGAATAAGAGTTTAGTTATACTTTAAACCAGCGTTTCCTAATTTTTTAAATTTAGCGCACCGGTGAAAATTTTCAAAATGGCACCAAAGACCGGTACCAAATGAATTAATTATATTTGTCTTTTAATTGAGCATAAGCATCCATGTTGTGTCGACCAGTTCAAGTCTGTTGAAAACAATTTTGGGGATGCCGCTTAGAACGATCAAATTTCAATCAATTTTCTCTGCAACAAATTTAAGTGAGCGATCGTTTCTTCATCGTCTAATAATTTCTTCCCATTTTAATTTGAAGAACGAATACAATTGAACGTTAACATGTTCCATGGTAAAAGTGTTTGGATTATCCGTTGACGTGTAGAATAATTCATGCAGATCTGCCGAATTTAGTTGAACATTTTTTTTAAATTAAATTCCCTTAAATTGTATACAGATGGAAAAATTAAAAAAATTTGTAAAATATTAAAAAAAAAAAAAAAAAAGCTAATAATCCTTGCTTAAAGCGACCAATTTCAATAAGTATACCTTCATTCCGCTTGCTTAAAAAATAATTAAAAATATGTGTAGGCTTTTCTACAAGAAGTGCAAATGTTTTTCACCATTTTTTATCGCCTGGTCATGAGCATTTTGTATGTTTTTGTTTTTTTTAATATTTAAAAAACATTGCTTTACTTTTTTCCCCCTTTTTGGTTAGTGATGCTTTTATGTTTTCATGCATTTTAAAAGTAACTCTTTCCGTATCTTTTACGCTTATACTTTCAAGTATTTATATTGACATGAACTGTTTCGATAAAAAGTAGGGCGCTTCATTCTTTGGACTTTTGTATCGCAAAATGTTAAAATATTGAAATGAAATTATAACATGATGTGAAAAATCTGGAACTTAGCTGGGGTTTATAAAGATACAGTTTGTTAAAACAGCTGGATGGTCGTGTTTTGAAAATAACACTATTTACCACAATTTAAATTTGGAAATTGTTTATAAAAAATTTAATAATTTAATTAAATAATTATTTATTTTTGTGTGTGGGTTGTTTTTTTTTCAATTTTTAAATCTTTTAAATTAATTTCGCTTTTGTGTATTTAGGGGAAAATCTTCGGAGAGTTTATTGACTCATTTTCCGTCAACTTATCGAGCTAAATCATGACACATAGGCTCGTTACCGATGGCAACACATTCTGTCACATTTTTAGAAACCATCCAAACCCTTAAAAAATGTGTTCCTCTTTTTAGAGAGGAAGAAAAAGGAAATATGATGTCCCTGATTTCAAGAAATAAAATTCTTGATAAATGGGTTAAATGAGATTCTTTTCAAAAAATAATATCACAAGTGTATTTACTGCTGTTTTTCTGCACTACTTTGTGAAATTAATCTTCTGTGTAAAAGAGGTTGGCACATTAGAATATTATAATAAAATAAAATAACTAAAAAGTACATATAAATAATTTATACGAACAACTTAATAAAGTTTGTTTCATTGACTTTGTGCTCTTTGATGAACAGAAAACTAGATGTACATGGTGTGACTTAACAATAATTACAAATGTTTTTTTCTCCCTTAAAATAAACTTAAGTAGATGTATGTGGCCATATTTTTATCTTAAGGAAATTCGTTGTTATAATAAATTGGATAAAAAAATTGGTTATTTACTTGTTTTTAAAAAAGAAAACAAATATTAATGTAAACATAACTATCTTCATATGTGCAGATATGTTGGATTAGTTTGGGCACTTGACTAAACCTCTATAAAATGAAAATTAAAATTCATAACATATATGTGATAACTAAGTACTATTTAATGACCCTTAATTTGACATACCTTTACAACCAGAGGTAAATTTTGCGTATTTTTACTTTCTCCCCCCCTCCCCCAACCACCACCTGGAAAAAAAAGAAACTGGAAGGGATTTTTAGAAAAAAAAATTAAATAAACTTGGTCTAGCCATTTAAAAATAGTAATAATAATAACTATGTGTAACATTTGTTCTTGCACTAAAATCAGACAAATCGTACTTAAAAATTAATTTTACCAAAGAATTGATGTAAAACAAGACTCATTATCAGCCTATTTACAGACATATTTACCAAAATAGAACATTAATCGCTACACACAGGCTACAACACACCTTTCCCCCTCGATTGTGTGAATTTTTAATAACAAAAAACTACATAAATCGTATATTCAAAGACATTGATTTTAACAAATGTATGACGTATATACAACAGTGCCCCGACCTAGCTCAAAAGCGCCAGCCAAACTCTCGTGCGCAATACAGTTCTATCCTTACGCCTGAAATTATACTCCTTTTCCGAGCCCCAAACCAAAGCCCAAGCCTATCTCAGGATCCGCCCCCACTCCAGAGCCCCGCTCACACTCTAGATTGCCACTCTTACTAGAGAACCACACAATCACAGAGTCCCACCCACACTCTAGAGTGCCATCCTCACTAGAGCCCCACCTCCACTCACTATTAAATTACGTTAGAGCTCAAGAACTTAAAATAAAATCAACTATGGAGTTGTAAAACAGAGAAACAATGTGGATAAAAAAATCATACAGATGTGAGAAACAAATTAAATATAAGCGGTTTAACAGCCTCGAGGACAAATTCTCCCTCTCTCTAATGTGGTTTGGCAGCCTCCGGACGATATAGTAAAAGTTAAAAACACATGAAAAGTTATAAAGTGAACCCCCAGTATTCGTCCATGATCGATAATTCGTCTTTTATTTTTTTCTTCGTTCTATTATTTCCTAACGAGCTTTATTCGACATTGGACCGAAAATTTGATATAGGAGCATTTTCCATCTGAGTCAAAGCGGTGATTCAAAGAACTACTTTATTTCTCTTTAATGTGTACGCGCTTATGAAACTATTTTTAAAATAAATATTTGACCATGGTGTTCATGTGACCACTTTGTTTTGGGACCAGAGTTTCTCTTTAACTTTGTTTCTTTGTTTTATTTATATTTGTTGTAAATTATGTATATAAGTTTTAGCGTTCATTTTATTGTTTATTTTAATTATTTAGCGTATTAATTCATTTTATGGTAATGTGCTTGCACACTTTCGAAAAATTTTAAGGAAGAGAACATACAACAAACCAAATTGGATAAGTTCTTGAAAAAAACGAGTGTTGGTGAATCGTCTGCAAATGCTGGTAAACCATGAGAATTGACATTACCTTTATATCATAATGAAAGGGGGCTTCTTTAATAGGGTGCAGATGTATATGTAAGATCGAGGTGTAAATTACATTGTATGTATGTAACTATATTGTAATATGTAACACATCATTTTAAGGAAGTTCGACATCAAATGATCAAACGTTATTCAGGTTCATAGATTTTTTTCTAAAATAACACAGCTAAGCCATTCATAGCATTCAAATCAAATTAGCCACTAAGTATTATTGTCATTGTAGTTTCTAATCACACAATTGTATTCGTGTATTTATGTTTACTGACATTATCTAATGTCATAGCGTCAACACCCAATACATTAACACATGACTTTGTTACGGTATCAGCCCTAGGCTGGGGTACTGCGCTATATAAGACCACTTATAATTATTATTATTATTATTATCATAGATTGGGAGCAGGGCTTAGGCACATAATGCCAACGATTCGTTAACAATACCTAATACATATAAAATGCATGAAATAATATATACTGTCATGAGTGTTTTATCAAGTCATACTGATGTCTTGACGTGTTTTACGAAAACTATAAACAAAATTGGCCTATGCGTTTAATAAAGTTAAATAAAGAGTTGTTATGGGCGTGTTACCTGAGGCGGCAATACTTGTGGGTGTGTGGTGTTGTGGGGGGGGGGGATTTAGAGTGGCAAACCAAGTACCTCAAGGATTTCAGAAACTGTTCCACTTGAATTTTAATAAATTCATTTGATCAGCTTTTTTATATTACGTACATACTATATCCCCATAAAAATACAAACGTCACAAATTAAGTTTTAGAAAGGGTTAAATATCATTTTTTTTACAAATTGTCATGCTAAATCCAGATAACCACTAATACACATTTTGTTAATGAAGTACGATTTTCAAGACAGTTTTCTTTCTCAATACCCAAGATGATAACAACATCACACACAACCGCGTGCTCCCTTTCAGAAACATACAAGAAACACACGAACACACGCCCCAAGTCAACCTGCTAGAAATGAAGTCAATACAGTCTTCTGCTTCTTCTATATATTAAGGGCCAACGATCAATTTATTGATCATTTTGGCTCCAATGCATGCAGAGGGGATTTGCAATGTTCCTGTGCCTTGTGTGGATGAGGATATTTCACTGATTGCAAGAGCTACTTTGTGAGGGTATCATGCACATGGGGGGGTTGGAAGGCCTAGGGCAATAGTCGCAAATACGTCTTTACACGATCGGCCTCGTTAGCCATTCTAGAACGTATCAATAATGCAGAAGCTACACCACCGTCTCACAAAAACGTACGGAAGCCAACAAACTATAATATTATTGTTATGGAAATCAGATCAAAATTGTACCTTTTGGGGAATGGTTTTGCGCAAAGTATTTGTTTTGCACGGCTTCGCATTCATCGTAAATACAGATGTACAGCAAATAGAGAGAGTAAGTATTTATAATAAGTTAGGTAAAAGTATAGAAAAGGTTAACATTTCGTAATCGTTTTTCGTCTCAAAACTAATCACTGACAGAGACAAAATAAATTATTGAAAATAATAGCAGAAACTATTGTTCAGAAAAACTCATTTTCTTTATTTCTCCTAATGAAAAAGACTCCGTCCCCTTAAAACACAAACTACAAGAAGCAGTAGAGTGGCACAGCAATTAAAAGTGATATCACGAGCTGTTGATGGTGTTACAGCTACAACTGAGTTATCACAATGTCCCATCTCAAAACATTACCGGCCTATGAAGCTAAGCAATGAAACATAGCTTCCTGTCCTCTACATGGAACGCATTAAATAATAGACCAGAGTTTTTACATTCCTTAGTCTTTCATTTTTTAAAGTTTTAACATGACAATTATCAAATTACATATGTGTGTTTTGAAGCTTAGCAGTAGCAATCATGGGCGTATGGTGGTTTGGAGATCAGGGGCGTATTGCAGTGTGGTGGTCAAGGGCGTGTGGGGGTGCGGAGGTCAGGGGCGTCTGGTGGTGTGGAGGTCCGGTGCGTCTGGTGGTGTGGAGGTCAGGGGCGTCTGGTGGTGTGAAGTCAGGGGCGTCTGGTGGTGTGGAGGTCAGGGGCGTCTGGTAGTGTGGAGGTCAGGTGCGTCTGGTGGTGTGGAGGTCAGGGGCGTCTGTGGTGTGGAGTTCAGGTGCGTCTGGTGGTGTGGAGGTCAGGTGCGTCTGGTGGTGTGGAGGTCAGGGGCGTCTGGTGGTGCGGAGCTCAGGGGCGTCAGGTGGTGTGGAAGTCAGGGGCGTCTGGTGGTGAGGAGGTCAGGGGCGTCTGGTAGTGTGGAGGTCAGGTGCGTCTGTTGGTGTGGAGGTCAGGGGCGTCTGTGGTGTGGAGGTCAGGTGCGTCTGGTGGTGTGGAGGTCAGGTGCGTCTGGTGGTGTGGAGGTCAGGGGCGTCTGGT